TCTGCTCCGATAGGTAAAATCTCAATGCAAACCAATCTCAGTCTGGTTCAATCTCAGCATAACCTTGCAAGCCAAGAAGGATTAGTCTGGATCAGTGCTGGTAGGGGAGACCTGTGTGGAAAAGGCAAGGTGCTGGAGCAAGCAGAGCTGATGATTCAGTAGATGGTGCTCTTCCCTCAGCATCAGAGCTGAGCCAGCCTCCTGCTAGGGCAGTGATTCTCAACCAGAGTACTGGGGGATTTAAAATAAGAATCCATTCTGTCAAAAACATTCTGCTCTGCTGTGGCCTTTCTGAGCTCTTTCCAACAGAAAAACTGCTCTATTCTTTTTCTGTAGTCAAGAAATGAGTGAAAGCTAAGAGCTGGCATTTTCTGAGGGTGTCTTGAATCTGAAAAAGTTAAGAATCACTGCACTGTGGCATTAGAGGTGCTGTTGTTCAGATATAAACCCTGGTCGCAAACCATCATTAAAAACCTCACAGAACTTGCTACCAAATCCGGATTCCAATGATCCGGTCAGATTCTGACTTGCGTGGCTCCAAACTACTTCCGGAAAACCCTCCTACCATCTCAATCACATGCAGTATTCTGCTTCACTTTCTGTCTTAAACTGTTGTGCAACATCACATGGTTTGTCAGCCACAGCAACTATAACCGTCACCTGAAACATGACTTCCTTTCACTGGCAGGTGGGTGAAACTGCCAGTCTGGGCAGTTAATAAAGCACCATGTAATCCATCAAAGGGGAAGGTGTTTGCTGATGAAGCCTATGTTACCACAGTGTAATCTATAGGCACCTGCTTTGTTCATTTGCAGTCAAATTCTTTTGTTGTCTTCTTCCACCAAAGAAATGGCACCACTGTGTGACAAGCTGAGGTGTTTGATGGGCAGAATGCTGATCTGCACTGTCTGTAAAGGGGCTGGAGCTAGCATGTGCCATAGGGACTTTTACAGAGATGGGCCAGCTAACTGCACCCAGCAGCTACCTAGGGAACTAGGCTTCTAGTCCAGAGAAAGATGCTCTGTGGTTAAGGCATCAGGTGGAGATTCATGTGGCCTGGATTTCCTTTGTGACCTCAGGCCACTTCATTTGTCTCCACTCCTGTAAAATAAGAACAATAACACTATCTCCCATACATCCTTTGTGGCTGCTCAGATCCCAGGGTTCTGGGGACATGGAAACATCTAGGCTGATGCCCAGATGCAACCCATGACATTTGGAGCCAACTCCCTACCAGCTGGGGTCTGCTGGGGATTGTCCTGCCTCCCTCAATCACATGGAGAGGTCCAATGCGCAACTCCTAAAGAGCCAGCTACAAGTGGCTAGTTCGAGGAGGAGGAGGAAAGCTCTTGTTGCTTGCTGACACCTTGGACTCTCTAGAGGAGGAGAGATAAGGCTGCAGTGAGGCAGGTTAGGTAGGCTGGGAAGCTTGCTACAACCACAGAGACGACCCAACAACAATGCCATTGCAACTGGAGGGAAGGATGGCTGGCACTGCACACTGGATTGGGAGGGAGAGCCCCACATGTGCCTCTAGCCACCTGGCTTTGAATCCATTCCTGACAGCTCATGTCAGCTGACAGCCCTTTGTAATGGCTTTCGTGTTCTCAGTTCAGCCCCCAGTTGACAAGCATCCACGTCACAGAAGCCACAGCCCACTCACTGGCAGTCTTGGGAGAGAAGCCAGGAAGTGGAAGGGTCTGGCACATGGACACCCCTCTCAGGTCTTCTGAGGGTGAGAAGCACATTGGTAGGGGTAGGTGTTTGAAGGCACCCCTATCACTAGCCCTGCTGTAGCACGACATTCTCCAGGCACTTCTCAGTTGGGCACTTCTTACCAGACGGATTTGTCTTTATAGGGAAAGGGGAAAAATAAACCTGGAAACAAAAAACTCACATCAGCAGGGCTAAACCTCAAAGTCACTGGCAGTCCAATGACTGGATACCTTGAGTGGGTTCCAGGCACATGGCCATCACCAGGGTTGAATTTTTCTCTGTCTAATGTAATGGGCAGCCTGCTGAGAAGGAGGATTATTGAGTTTCTGTCACTCCTCAGATAAGGTTTTAACTAAGGATTTTCTTCTGGCCGAAGGCACCCAGGGACTGACAGAAAATCCACATTGCTCAACCCAGGACGAAGCTTGCTGCTGCTTCTGTGAGGGAGCCAGCACTGCTTTACTGTGGAGAACATGTCTCCTACTCCACAGCAGTGCCAAGGAAAAAGGGAACTCTACTCCATTCAGAAATAGACCCATGGATGCCCAAAACCAGCAGGTTTCTTTCATCAAATTAAAAGATGAAGCCGGTGATAGTAGGAAAGGAGGAGATATTGGGCCATGTTCTCAGCTCATGTAAATTAGAAGAGATCCACTAGAGCCAATGAAACGCTGCCCATCTCCTCCAGCTGAGGACCTGGTCCAAGATCTCAGTAGGGCAAAACCCAGCCCAGTGGTTCTCCAGACCTCAAAGTGATGTGGTGACCTGCTTTATGAGCTACCCACTCTGCAAGACACACTGGGATCTCCACTCCCTGGGCAGCTGGGTCCCCAGAAGATGCCAGGGTCTTCTCTCCGTCGGCTCCCTACTTTCAGAACGGTTCCAACTCTTCTGCTGTTGCTGGGGTTGGCCAGTCAGACACGGCTAAGGGCTTCTGCTCACAGGCTGTCACATTGTGAAGAGCCATCTCCCAGGCCGGTGGCAATGATGTCATCATGCCCTGAAAGAAGAGAGCTCATATTTCAAAATACTTGTACACTATAACCTGAATTGGCAAAAATGCAGCTTGGAGCGAGGCTTAAAATAACACCCATCAATCATTATTCAGTCAGCTGAATAACCCAGGCAGAACACGCTCTGCTACATTTCCAAATCCAGCATTATCATTACTAAGAGCTGCTTTCTCTGCCACCTTTCTTAGAGCATCACGGGAACAAAGCTATTGGTTTGAATGAAATGCCACTTTCACTTGAAAGTCCTTTGTCAGTCACATATAACGTATCCATCTGTGCAGAGAACCCTCCCGGCCTTTACTTTCCAGAACAAGGTCAAAGACGGCTCTGGTTGAGTCTCTCATTGCTGGGGTTGCTAGACTAGTTCCCTAGCTGGGCACCTTCCCTAGGGAGGGAAAGTCAAGGGAGATGTGGAAAGTTGGGCAGCTACAAAAGGTCAAATTGAAGAGGATTATACAGTGGGAAGGCTGAAAGCTGCTCTATGGCCAGGATGCTTGTGATAGGGAGGACCTGCTGTATTTCAGGGCTGTCTCTAGCACTGGCATTTATGCTACAGCATCTCACTCTGTTGTTACCATTGGGGCAGTGCGACTGGGAACACCTACAGAGGAGCCAGTGCTGGGAAGTATTAAGAAAAGCCAATGTCTGGTGGAGACATGAACCTGGGGAAAGATCTGATGCCCTGAGGCAGGAGGAATGTATTTCCATCAGCCAAGAAGTGCTGGCAGCACGACCCTCTCCCGCTGAGCCTGTGTGCAAACTGCCCGCCCCACAGACACACATGGCTGGTAGCTATGTTCACTTGGGATCACTCCAAACCCACTCCTAGCGAGTATTAAAGGGATCTTCCAAATCTCAGCAGTTTAAAACTGTCTTAACACCTAGCATATCCATTGGGCTGGGTGTCCTGCAGCAATTCAGGGAATCCCTGCAGTGCAACACAGGGCAGAGTGGTAACCATCACACACTGAGGGAAGCACTTCAGGAAGCCTCCTGACACCTCAGCAGAGCAACCGACTTTGTCCCCATTTCACAGAGAGGGCAAACCAAGGCATGGAGGGATGATGCAGCTTGCCTAGGGTGGCACATGAAGCCATCAAAGAGAGGCCTGTGGTTCCTACAGTTCCACTTCTTCCCCAGCTGCGGTTTGCCTCCATGCCAAATCCTCACTTCCTCTAGGAAACCACAGCATTTGCACTTCCCTTTGCTGGGAGGGGGAAGGGCAACAAACACACCAAGAGCCAGGGGCCCTGGCATGGCTCACTTGGTTACCTCGATTGTTCCTTCAGCAAGTTGGCTTCTGGCTCTGTCTCTAGCTGGGCAGATGCTCCTGGGGCAGGGGTTTTCCCTGAGTCGCCCACAGCGATGCCCGGGTCACTTGTCATCATGCAGGTGAGGGCAGCACCTCATGAGGAAGGGCTGGTGGCCTGGTTGGACTAGGTGACCTCTGGAGGTCCCTTCCACCCCTGCTTCTCTATATGATACTATATATCTCGCAGGATTCAAATCACACTGACTCTTGCGGTGGGGTCCGCAAAAAAAATTAAACCAGGTCATTGATTAACAAGTCCACCTAAGTGAAGGGACAATTCAATCGGAGACTCCTCCGGGTTATGATTTTCAAGTCTTACAGCGGGGCTCTCATCTCTTGGGGGGAGGAAAGGCTCAGTCCCCCTTAATTAGCCCCCCCTTAAATTGCACCCTGTATATATGATACTATATATGTGTGTGTGTATATATATAATGCTATATATATAATACTATACATAGATATAATGCTATATATAGGAAACTATAGATAGATCTAGATGATACTATATCCAACCCCCCTCCCTTCCCTTCGTGTCCCCAGGGCACCTCATCCCCCCTCCTGCAGCATCGTCCCTGCACCACCCTGCATGTGCTGGGAAGGTCCCCCCCGCGCGGGCCCTTGCTGCAGCTGCCCGGCGCCGCCTCGCCTGCAAACCCTGCTGCCCCCGATCATACGAGTGGCCCTCCTCTGGACCCTCTCGATGCTGTCCACATCCCTCTTG